ATGTGTTCATGAAAATATTTTCCACGATTCAAGTGGTTTTGGCGGCCGTCTTGAATTTATTAAAATAAAGCAAAAAACCTCAAAAAATTATCTTCTTAAAAACTGCGTGATTGTTTGACAAGCAATTTAGATTGTGGCACCCATGTTGATAGCTCTACAAAGTTTCTGAAGCAGATTTGTGAAAAATGGCTTCCTTTGGCAGCCATATTGGATTTAGGAAAAAGTGATGTTACGCTATAACTCATGAACAATTTGCCAGATTTAAACCAAAGTTGGCATACAACATCCGTTCAATATGATTATGTGTTCATGAAAATATTTCCCATGATTCAAGTGGTTTTGGCGGCCATCTTGAATTTATCACAACAATGCAAAACAAACTCAAAAAATTATCTTCTTAAAGACTACCCGCTTGTTTGACAAGCAATTTAGCATATAGTATCTCTGTTGAGATACTATATGCATGCAAGCAAGCAAGCAATCAATCAAGCAAGTGCAATTTGCCATGAGCCACGCAGGCTCGAAACCCGTCATTGCTGCTATGCAGCTATATTTTATTTTGAAATCGACTTTTACATAGACTGGCCAGTGATTAATTCCCACTAAAATTATAAAAAAAATAAACAATATATAAAGTACATTACATTTCCATTTCGAATCGCATCAATATTCACATAGCAAGAGGCATGAATTTCTCATACACGGGTGTGGTGGGCGACCTACTGCATATACGATTCTGAATATCATTCAGACCCAATTATTACCTCACGAGCTACCAAAATAGTATGTTGAATAAAAATAAAAAATACAATTTAGAGTATATGAAATAATCCCACAACTCATAGAAAGTGAGTTATTTTTCATTTACATAGTAAATAAATCACAATTAGTACGAACTGATGAAGGATTCGGTATTTTTAGGAACGTTGTATCATATCACTAACATAGCAGCTAGAACCCTGTCGTGGCTGTCATGGGACCATTTTTGCCATCACTGTCATCGAGTACAGTGTAAGGTGGCAAAGCATATTTCCCCGTACGATGCTTTTCAAGTGCTGGTCCCCACTGTGGTGTTGGCCTCAATAAGTATTTCATTTTCTGCAAAAAAAGAGTATGGGTGAAATTAATACAGCTTGTCTATCACGTGTCTAGTTTATTTCACCATGTGGCATGCTGAAACTCGCACGATCATGTACCTAACCCTATCCAGTTTTCAACGTCACTTTCAAGAATGAACATCACAGCCATTTTTGTGTACGACAACCACATGTAATGGAATTGTGTTCAATTTGACGATTGGAAATCGCTGTTACCATTCGTGGGGTTTTCTGTTTTTTATTGCCGCAGTTGAGGGTCATCGCATCTCAGTACACATTTGGTAGTTCTTCAAATTGAGTTCATGTCTTTGTCCAGTAACAGTTGCACAGAATACAATGAAACGCATATCATAGAAGGCACGATAACGTTTAGTTCTGTTTCAATCAATCCCCGATGACAGAATACACAATAGAACCACTGTGTTTCAGAAACGGGGGTTCACCGACTCGCCGCGAATTCTCTTCAGCAACCTTGCGCTCGTTCTCATGGGATTCGGCGCAAGTTGACAAGCCTCTGTAGTTTTAGACTTGTACAACATCACGGCTAATTACAGAGTCACACCAACACATTCCTACAGTAATCTAGACCATTACAAATAATCACACAAATGCATCAACGGCACACCCGGAAGTGTCACTTGTATTAATTATATACATCACGGACCGGGAGACAACATTCCTCAAAAACTCACTTTTTGAAACAAACAAATAAGAACCCAATCCTTATTAACGAGGTTTGAGCCGAATTGAAGCTTGCATGTCATGCTTTCATTATTACGAGTTCATATCAGAATACAGAAAGGAAAAAATGATCTCATCGTTTTTCTGAGATACAAAAATGCGAAATATGAAAAAAATATGGTCAAAATCTTTATTTTTACACTGGTTTCTTTGACAAGATTAATCATTTCTCGGTGACATCAATATTTCGCCTGGCATACACAAAATAACGTACCTCTATGAAACCATCTCCTTCCGCATAAAAGCAGTATTGGATGAACATAAATAGCGGTATCATAACCAAGGAGGCACACGCCATCAACCATCCTATAATCTCTGCCCATGCTGGATAGACGTACGAACCGTAGGAGACTGGCGCGTACAACACCAAACCAAATATAATGATGCCCTGTCAAGTAAGAAACAGAATAAAGTTGTACAATTAAGTCATGATTAATAGCTGCATATTGAATATTCTAGCCGAGAAACTCTGTGGGGGGGGGGAGACGATGGCAAGAAACTACAAAATAGTTTAGTTTCGTGCTATTTTATTTGTTTATTCACGTTAAAGATCTCGAAATACAGATTGACAGAATGTGCATCTGAAAAGGTCGGGACGGATTCAGCACATCGAGAGAAAACTTATCTCTTGATCCAACTCTACCCGTCAATGCAGAGATTGGTGACCTTAGGGTGCAAAGTGACTCTGAAAGTGTTTTTTTGCATGAAGTGACTAATTGCACTATTCATCTGTTTATATATTCACACACATACTTAACACTAACAGTTAGCTGGTGCATGGAGGTAAAAAGAGTTATGGCTGGTGCGTGTGTAATTATAGAATAGACCCCAATACTTGTAATTTTTAGTTTAGTCAATGGTCAAACATTTCAAGGTTTCAAGTTGTGACGCGAAAGTACAGTTTCTCTCAAACTTATGAAACAGGTAGCCATGGTAGTGTCAAACCACGACGTTGATCAAGTTCTTGTGCCAACAATCCCACTCTAAGGGATTCGCTTGCGAAAATGCTACGTAAATACGGCGAAATACTACAAAAGGATGATTTATAAATTTTCTTTACTGTACTAACAAGCGTTGAAGGGCACATTTGACATTGCTTCACACACATGGTATAAGCGAGACAATACACAATTCGTCCACCTCAGACTTCTTTAGTAAGCTTTGTGAAGTACTGTAGAACTGACAGTGATTGTTCTAAATACAAAGGGACACTAGTGACTCGTAGGCTGTAGCAGGTTAATAAGGTTTAAATAATATTAATTGAAAATAATACATTAAGTATTTCAAGAAATTTAAAAGATAACATAATTTGCAATGATATAATGAAATGTCAACTTACTAAAAGTTTCTACTAGGTTAATGAGATATGTTCTATGGTTAAGCTACTGACAGAATTTGCAGAGTACCAGAAAGTTACGAGTCACTGTGTATTAACGTAGGTTACAACGCTTCAATGGAGTGGAAACGTAATGCATGACACAAGCATATATCTCAAGCATTGTTAAACATAGCAAATCATTGTGAAGACTTCAAGTGAAACGAAATATAAAGGTGTGCCACCAAAACACCACAGTAAATGTGTTCGTGTTCGCACATATGCACTGAAGGAATTTCATTCACTGATTCAATACTGTTGACTATTCGGGAAATTATTTTTGTGTTTTACTGGCCAGTATCAAATGTATTCTAACATTTTAGCCCTGAGCCCCCCTCTAGGATTAAAGAGATATTTGATAAACGCTAGCAGTAGTTTAACATTGAGAATGTTAATCCCAATTTTCACATTGAGCAAAGTAAATCAATTGGGTCAATCAGCGTTTTGTTAGGATAAGTTGAACCTCTCATCAACATACACAATAAAGTGAAGGCGGTATATTTAGTAATGAGTTGAATATAATCAGTTGAAACACAATAATGTTTTAATAATAGTAAACCTCAAATTACCAGTATGATAAGAGGAGTAATTCCACACCAGCACACTGTGAACCATAGCCATAACACAGGTTTATAGCCAAGCATCATTTGAATATCGTCCCAGAAATTATTGACACCTGGAGAACAAATAATATGTATTGGATTATACTGAATGCATGTTATTACGAATTATAAGACATGAGAATTGTTATATACCAGAAATACAGAATAATTATTTTGGTGTTCTATGTAACGAATTATGCTTGGAGGGCGATTCTGTATAGTAATGCCAGTCATGTGACCACGAGCACGCAACAGGCACGGAACACTCTTGCGTTGAACAGATTATTCGGCGAAAAAGGCATTTATGTGACGTACACTAGTACGAGGGAGGCAGTTTTCAGCAGCGTCGTTAATATGGTTTTGATCAGCCGTCAATGAAAAGGAATGTTTCTGGGGAATATACTGTTAGGATATTCTAAATTATGAACTGCTATGTAACCGAACACAGTTGTTAACAGTGATCACCCAGCTACGTCATTAAAAGAGGGGGGCAAGGTTTATTTTCGTTCAACGTAATTGT